AGAGTCTTCAGCCACTAATTTCTCTATGTCTCCTAGCAGCACTCACTGCTCACCCTATTTTTCTTGGCATTTTCTCTCTCCTAGTTGCTGTGCTGTTTTCAGACAGAGACAGGGTGCTGTTCCTTGTCCCAGGCATCTTTCATTCCTCTGGTCCTTGCTCAGCCTTCTCTGTTCCTCTTCCACTGGCAAGTCTCTGTCCTCTCAGGTCATTTGTTGCAGGGTAGGGTGGGATGCTGTGATATGGTCTGGTCCTCTGCTCTTACTATTGCAATCCAAGTCTGCAGAGTCACAGTTTTTACTCATCTCCCAAGTGGGGGGGGGTGCTAATTTCTCATTTGTTGCTCTACAAGTTCTACCACTGTCACCGACTTCTGCTGCATTCTGCAACTTTCTAGGGTGAGATGGGTGGTGCTATGAGTCCCTTTCTGCTCCTGCTCCCCACAGTGTGCAAACAGCCTGGGCTGCACAGTTGTGAGATGCAGGACTTTTAAATTCCCCATGCCTCTCCAACCACAGGTCATGGCAGAGGTGTTATCTGTTCCATTTAGCAGGCACCCATATAGTCGTTAATTTTGGGCTTAGCAGTTAAGTCAGTTTTAGTTGAATTTCTCTGAGTAGCTCTGAATGAGGCTTCTCCTCCATTCAATGTTGTCTTCCCCTTTTTTCTTATAGAATAAGTGATATCCATTGAGAAACACTTCCCATTGCTTCTTCCCTGCAGCTCCTGGCAACCACTAGTCTACTTCTGATGTCTGTGACTTTGATTACTCCAAGTCTCTCTTATAAAAGGGATTATACAGTATTTGTCTTTGTTATCACCAGCTAAATTCACATAGCATAGTAACCTCATTTAGTCTGTGTCAGCACTTTCAAACTATTTGTGTCTTTGGATCTAAGTATGTCTCTTGTAGAGAGTATGTGATTGGGTCATATTTTTAATCCATATTTCTAATTTCTGTCTTTTAACTAGAGAGTTTGGTCCTTTTACATTTAAAACAATGCTATCATTTGCATTTGGAATGTCTCCTGAAGCCCTATGTTAAAGCGTTATTATTAGCTGCTGGCCTCTTGCGAGGTGGTGGACAGTTTTAGAGATTTAACCCAGTATGAGGTTATTGTGGGCATGCCCCCAAATGGGACTGTGGGGTCTCAGTCTCTGCCTCTTTTACTACTTTTCATTTCAGCCATAAAATGAATGCTTTTGCCACATGGTACTGCCATGAAGAGGTACTTTGCCACAGGCTCAGAAGCATTGGGACAAAGCAATTGTGGACTGAAACCTCTAAATCTAAGAGGCAAAATAAACTATTCTCTTTTTAAGTTCATTATCTGATCTGAGGTATTTCTTACAATTATGGAAAGCTGACTAAAACAAGTACTTACTGATAAGGTGAGATTTTTGTCCTCTTTTTATTTCTTATCTGTATACCTAATAGTTTTTTTGTGTTCCTTATTTCCTGCACTACTCTCTGCATATTTTTAGTTGAAATTTTTTTTTGATGAAATGTTTAAATTCCTTTCTTTTCTCTTCTGTATGTATACTGTAGGTATTTTCCCTGTGGGTACCATGGGAATTACATTTAATGTCCTAAAGTTATAATATTATCAGTTGAGCTCACATCAGACTATCTTCAGTAGTTTACAAAAATCTGCTCCTTTTATAGCTGTTTCCTCCTCCTATTAAGTTGTCAACAAATTTTCCTATCCAGTATGTGACTCAAATGATATAGAAAACATAACATATAATAAAAAACCATGGTTGTAATAATATTACCTAAAAAACCATGGTTGTAATAATACTACCTTCAATAATAATAATTAGATTTTTAAGAAAATTTATTAGTCTTTCAATATGTAGAAAACATAATAGACTTGTAAATCGTTGTTACAACACTAGCTCCTATAGTTGCCCATACATTTAACTTTATTGAGATCTTTATTTCTTGAAATGATTTTTACTTTTGTTTATGATCCTGTCGTTTTACCCTATACTCTAAGCTTTTGTTTACTTGAGAGTTTCTTAATTTATCTATAAATTTTTTGTTTTATTTTTGTCTTTTTGAGACAGTTTCACTATGCAGCCTAGGCTGGCCTTATTCACTTTGTAGCCCAGGCTGGCCTCAGGCTCTGAAGTACTGGGGTTACAGGCCCAAACCACCATGCCCTACCCATCCAAATGTTCTTTTGGAGGACATTTTATTCAGTACAGGATTCTTGGTTGATAGCTTTTTTAAAAAATTATTTTTAGTATGTCCTCTCATTGCTTTCCACTTTGTAAAGTTTCTGAGGAGAACTATGCTGATAATTTTTTTGAGGATCTCTTGTGTATGATGAGCTATCTCTTTCTTGATGTTTTCAATATCCTTTACTTTTGTCTTTTGCATATTTGATTGTACTGTGCCATAATGTGTATCTGTCTGAATTCCTTTTACTTGGAGCTAACTGAAGCTCTTAGATGTTTACAGTCATGTATTTTTTTAACTTTGGGATGTTTTAGTTATTATTACTTCAAATATGCTCTCCACTCCTTTTTCTGTTCTCCTCTGGAACTCCAAAAATATGTGTGTTGATTAATTGTGTAGGGTATGATAAATCCCTTTGGCTCTGTGACATTTAATCTTGGTTGTCAATTTGACTGTATTGAGATGCGTAGGGGATTAATAAAGCATATTTCTGGCTATGTCCATGAGAGTATTCCCAGACATGAATGCTGTGAAGGTCAGCAACCCAAAAATGGAAAGCCTGTTTAATTGTGGATGGCATTGTCCAATAGGCATGCAGCTCAGAAGGAGCTCAAAGAGGAAGAAGGAGTAAGTCAACCTGTGCTTGCAAGTTTGATTCCACTGAAGTGGATATACCTCTTGCTGCTGCCACTGCCTGTGGAGAGCAACCTCCAGGTTCTTCACCCTTTCAGGGTGGACTTATACCAGTGACTCTGTAGGGAACTTCCAAACCTTCAGCTTTGGACTGGCACTGCATGCTTATTCTTCTGAAGCTTTCTGTTTCCACTGAGCAGCTGTTGGATCCTCTGACTCTTCACTGTGCAAATGGCCATTCAGTTTTATACCACCTTTGGTCCTGTAAGTCTGTCTAATAAATCTCCTTTCTTAATTATTTTCATTATATATTTTTATTTTGTTCCTCTAGAAAACTTTAACTAGTACTGGCTCTGTTCAGTTTTCTTCAATCTCTTGTCTTTCTGTTCCTTAAAATTGATAATTTCCATTGTCTTCAGGTCTGCCAATTCTTTCTTCTGCTTCCTTACCTCTGCCTTTGAATGCCTCTAGTGAATTGTTTCATTTCAGTTATTGTATTTTTAACTTCCAGAGTTTAATTTCTTTTTAAAGTTGATGTGTCTTTATTGGTATTTGCATTTTAATGCATTGTTTTCTTTATTTATATTTTCTTTTAGTTTTTAGATTATATTAAGATAGTGTTTTAAAGCTTTTGTCTAGTGGATATATCATCAAGTTCTTTTCAGGAATAGTTTCTGCTGATTTTTGTTCCTTTGAATGCACCATAATATCCTCTTTTTCATATGGCTTCTTATTTTTCTGTTGAAAACTGGATATTTGAGTGTTAAGGGGAAAACTCTGGATATCAGATCTTCACCCTTCCAATAGTTTGCACTTTTTCCTTTTATTTTTATTTTAGTAGGTTATTTCTATAGAAAATCTCAGGCTACAATATAAATAAAAGGTCCACTGGGGTCTGTTTTGAACCTCTTCCTGGAATACACAGTCATTTTCTAATTTCTTTCAGATACACAGTCAGTTTTGGTTGTCTTTGCCTTTAGTGTATGGGTCACACAAGGCAAAAAATGAAAACGATAAGAGGGGGCAGGGAAGGGAATCAATGCTTTATACTTCTTTCGAGTTATTTCAGCTGGAGAAGGAGGGACTTACTACAGTGGGGAGAGTAGCAACAGTGATGACCATACAACTCTTTGGGACAAGCAATCAGTAATCAAAACAAGGACCCTTGGTGTTTGGAGGACTGGGTACTTCTTTCTTTCCTTCTGCAGTGGCTCCTGCAAGTTGTGTGCAGGCTGCCATAGGAACATATGGCAAGGAACTGGGTTTGGGAGACTGGTAACTAATGTCCCACTTAGACCTGAAACTTACTGAGTTATTGAAATTAATCACAATTTCTTGTCCAGATCCTTCCTTTGAGCTTGCAAACCTTTTGTTGACTCTAGATTCTCAAAACATTGTCTAGGGAAGGAGACAAGATTCCTGGTCCTTCCTATTATGCCATCTTCTCAGAACCCTGTCACCAATTCACCTTTGAAGAAATGAATAGATGCAGTCTTGCCTGTTATTCTTGGTTGTTATTCAAAAAATATAAGTCACAGCACATCATCATTCTAGATTGATCATGTACTTTTGAAATTGGTACAACCTGAGGGGAAAAGCTTAGTTACATGTCCGTTCTGTACTTCTCTACTATTCAAGCCCTTATATTCTCTTTGAACTGCTCAAGAACACACCCAGTTTCCATCAGCAGCATATTTTCTTAATCTGCATTTGGTCCAGAGACATAGTTTGCAGAAAAATAGCTTTTATGCAGAGCAATTCACATTGACAAATAGAATTCATAACAGTGAATATTTTACTTTTTCTTCTCCATAGAAAATGTGTGTGTCTCGCCTTTCTATATGTGGAATTATGGCCCATTCAAGATGTTTTGTCAACAGTGGAACATATCTGATCCTTTCTACAGGTGAATTGAGGTTTCTTCCTTCAATGATATCCATTAGAGCTTTAAGTAACAGTTTTCACATGTATCAAGAAAGAAAAACGTGAGGTAATGAAAAGCTTAAGGTTGAGCTTCAGTCTAAGAACATTTCTGTATAAATCTTAGAGACCAAATATATACTGTGCTTGGAGCATGCCTACACTACAGGAGGGGTTCTAACTTGGGAGTTTTAAAATTATGTCTCAAGGAGATGTGAAGTTCTGTTATAAGTGAAACATATATATCATATATTACTATAATGTCCAGATGTTTATTTTCTATATATAATAGTGTCTTAAAATATAAAAGAAGTTATAATGTATATTGCTAATAGAAAATGTAACAGTTTAAATTTGCAGAAAGATCGTATTTTTTCCTCTCTTCTGGCTTTTCTCCTGAAGCTTATCACCTCAATTTATTTAAAATTGGCATCTGGTAAAAGATGAATTCATCCTGAAACTTTCCCAATGGATTTATTTGTTAAATTGCTTTAATTTGGCTTCCAGTATGCATTCAAAAATAATTAATTGAAAGAGTAAATTTTTATTATACCAATTTATTAAAAATGTATCACTTACCACAATGAGAACCCAATTTAGTAAAATGCTTAAATTGGTGTGGTAAATTTACAGTAGGGGCAGAAAAAGAGAGAGAAATAAAAATATGTGTACAATAAAAGGCAGCAAAATGTTAAAACCTTTTTGTAAAGCCATGTAGGCTAGTTACTGTAATCACATGCAAAGAGGGGAAGAAATAATCACTGGAAACAATTACTGCAAACACTGTACTTAAACTTAGGGATACCTAATAGAGACTGCACACAATGAAAGATGGTCCTTTGTTAGAAACATCAGTCATTTTGACACTCATTCATTCAATCATTTATGCATCAATTTTTTCATCGTGTTTAGATGAGAACGCTGAAGAAGAAAAATTGTCTAAATTCTGAAAAGAGATGGTAAAATTATCATATAATATCTGGTTATATGGTTTTCATTTTAGAGTCATCTCCATATGTGAATAGTAATTACAATTACTTCTACATTTTGAAAAAGATCAGGCCCTTCACATCAAAGATCTGTATTACTTCTCTTTTACTTATTAAATGGTAAATGCAAATTCAGATGTGCTAAGGGCAGACTATATACAGAATATTGAAATCCAAATAATAGAAGTGTAAAATATCTCTAACTTTTTAAATGTTTATTATATGTTGCGATAGTATTATTTTGCAAATATTTGGTTAAAGAAAATGTTTTATAAAAATTAAGCTCACTAATTTTTTTGGCTTTGTATTACTGTATTAGAAATTTAAAATTACAAGTGCAGCATAAACAGACACATAGATCTATGCAACTGAATAGAGTTCATAAATAAACCTACATACATATTTAACTGATATTTAATAAGGATGTCAGTGATGCACAATGGAAAAAAGATAGTCTTCAACAAACGGTACTGGGAAAACTGGATATCTGAAAGCACTAAAATGAAATTTTGTTCTTTTCTTAGACCACACACAGAAGTCACTGAAAATGGATTAAAGATATAAACAAAACACCTGAAATCATAAACTCAGAAGAAAACAGGAAAGTTTACAGATGTCGGTCTGGAAATTATTTCTTAGTTATGATACCAAGCCACAGACAATAAAAGCAAAAATAGACAAGTGGGATTGCATCAAATAGTCGTTCACCAAAGGAAACAACCATCAAAATGAAAAAGTAACATACAATAAAGGAGAAAATAGTTGCATACTGTATATCTGATAGGAGTTTAATATCCAAAATATATTAGGAATTCCTACAGCTCAATGGCAGAAAACAAATAATCTCATTAAAAAAGCACTGCATAAACATTTCTTCCAAGAAGTACAAATGGCCAACAGATATATGAAAAAGTGCTAAATGTCACTGATTATCAGGGAAATGCAAATTAAAATCACAATGAGCTATCATGCACATCTGTTAGATGGGTTTTATTTTTTTACAAAGCAAAATACAACACTTGTTGGCAAGAATGTGGATCCAAGGGATCCACATCCTTGTGTACTGTGCATTGTAAAGTACATTGATGCAGTAATGTGGCCCCTCAAAATAATAAAAATATAACTAGCATATGCTCTGACACTCTTACTTCTAGGTATATATCCAAGGATACGGCAATCAGGTTCTTGAAGAGGTATCTATAGTTTCTATCTCAAGTTCCTTGAGACATTATACACAATGGTCGAGACGTGAAAGCAGCTATATACTCACCAGTGGATGCATGCATAAAGAAAACATGGAATGTTCCACACTATGGAACACTATTCAACTGTAATATCAGAAGAAAATACTCTATTTGTGGCAATATGAACGAATTTAGAAGATATTATGCTAAGCAAAGTAAGACAAATACTGAAGGACAATGCTACATGATATCACTTATATGATAAATTTAAAACAGTAAAACTGAAATAGTGGTTACCAGGGACTGGAGGGAAGAGGAAATCTGTAGGTATTAGTTAAATGGAACAAACTTATGGCTTGTATAAGTACATGTTTTACTAGAGAAACTGTAAGGTATGCCAATGTATAAGAAATTACAAAATTGGCTTATGATGGCCACCCACAGAGCCAGATGAGGGAGCGTGCAAAGAGTGTCTGCACAGTGGAGACTGAAGACTTTAGCCCAAGGTCTGGAGCTCACTGCAGTGTCCCATGCAAGTCCACATCAGGAGGCTGATGGGTCTGTGATGGAAGCAGAAGAGTCTAGGATGGAAGGGTGAAAGATCTGCACCGGAAGCAGCAGTCCATGCTAGAAGCCAGAAGATGACAATCCAAGCTGAAGGTGAAGACTGGAGCTCCTCTGAAGAAACAGAAGCAGACCTGTCCTTCCTCATTTCCCCTTCATACCATCCAGGTGATAAGCACCTTGAGGTGGGTCTTCTATACCCTAGAGTGTAGAATTACTGAAATGATTTAGTTAAACTTCTCTTGATTAAACTTCTCAAACTGATGCAATCATTCAACCATTCCATGGTTATACATGATAATCTTACAGATCTTCCATATAGCCTGGTGCTTATAGCTAATAATACTGCATTATACAGTTAAAGTTTTGTTAGGGTGAATTTTGTGTCATCATCATCACCACCATTATAAGTAAAAGGGCAAGAGAAAATTTTAGAGGTAATGGATGGATTTATGGCACAGCTTGAGTGATGATATCACAGGTGTGCTTAAATGTAAGACATTTCAGTTAATGAAATAGCGTATTTCTACTGTGAAAACATTACAGATTATTATGTTTCCATTGGCAGACGTATAGCTTTATATGATTTGGTCCCCAAATAATTGATGTAGTTAATTAATGCATATCAAAACATTCATAGGCATTACAGTGTTATCTGTCATTTAAATGTAATATGAAATTCTCACCTATAATTTTTTTCTTATGAATGTTCTTAGATTATTTGTGTCCTGTTTGGCTTATCTTTCCCAGTAAATTAATTTCACTTATAAAATTTTTCTTTCATTTTCAGTGCAGGTTTCAAAAATTTGAGAATGACCCTTTATATAGGTGTGATCAAAATATAGAATGAATGTTTACATTTATTTATTTATTTACTTACATTTTTGTTTCGTTTTATTTTTGAGAGGGTCTCACTATGTAGTTTAGGTTAGCCTTGAAGTCACAATGATCCATAAATAAAAAATATATTACAGTAAAAAACACATTGCCATCAATCCCACTATTTTCTAGGTAGTTATTTCTAGATGTCCTCAAAAACCTCATGGCCTCAGAGGTGTGGCTTCTGGGAGGTGATTGGTTTATGCGGAGGTGTGGTATTACTGATGGGCTTATACCTAGATAGGATGCTCAGAAGTGAAGCCTTGTTAGAAGATGTGGGTTGCTGTGAGTGTGGCCTGGAAAGATCCATCTCTTCCCTGTTCCTCCCTTGATCTCTCCTTCTTTATGTGTATGTCCCTCTGTCTCCATCTCTCTCTGTCTCTGTCTCTCTCTGCCTCCTTCTGTCATCTCTCTGTCTCTGTCTTTCGCTCTGTTTCCTGCTGCCATTCCATGAAGTATTTATCCTCTGCCATGCTCCTCTTCCATGTCTCCGTGCTTTAGAACCAGCCAAGTAAAGACCGAAACCTCTACAAACTGTGAGCCAACATAAACCTTTCTTCCTTTCATATGGGTGTCAGATATTGTGTTTCAGTGATGAGAACTGATTTTAGACAACGCCCTCAGAATACCGTCCCTTGTTTCAAGTAAATGTACTCTGTCATTCTTGCAATTGTCTAGAGGAATTCGGGAAGTCCTCTTTTGTGAGTGTTCTTAGAAGATGCGATCAAAAATACAAGGAATGTTGCTGTCAAGCACATCCAACAGAAAAGTAGCCTTAGGAAACATGACAATGGGTCCTCATTCACTTTGTTCAGTGGATCTGACACTGTGTGACTTCTGACTCTTCCCCAAAGTCAAAATGATCATGAAAGGCAAATGTTTTGAGTGAAATCAGAATATCAAGGCTGCCATGACAATACAACTAAAGACATTCATGAAAGGGGACTTCAAGAATTGCTCCAGAAAATGGAAAGAACAGGGCCATAAATATGAGTCAAGAAAGAAGAAGTTTTTGAGGGGTATTAATAGCAAGGTGTTTTTACTATAAAAACATTTAAAAATTTAAAACATTCACAATATTTTTGATCTCCCTGAGTAACAATCCACATGGTGGATAATGAAGATCCATTGAGAAATTATGATTCTCTGTTTGCAGTGCTAAGTTGTTTATAATTTTCCATGCATTCTACCCATTGGACAATGTAATTCTTTCTTATCATCTCCCTCCTCTCCCTTTGTGTTGATTGTGCATGTGTGCTTTGGATTTTGTAGGCTTTCAGAACGTATGATATTGAAGAGTGCAAATTAATCTCAGCTTTCAAAAAGCTGCTCTAAACAAACCACAAAAGGAACACATATTCAGAAAAATACTATAGGGCCTTTGTGGAATATCAGTCAGGAACTCTACTATTTGAAATGAAATAGCATCTAGTACTCTTGACAGGAATGAAGCTGACACTTGGATCCAGAAAATTCACTGAATATGAATTTAAATATTAAAGTATAATAAGGTTATAAACATCTGAGAATTCTTTTTGTACATGCCTATTAGAAATTTTTATTATCATGGAATAACACAACTATTTCTGTGTCTCTGAAACACTACAAGAGTTTAACTGACAGTTGTATAGTTGGGTGGACACTTTTGATGTTCTATTAACTTTTCTATAGACTGAAATCTTCTCCTATCATGACAAAATGGTTTCCATGTATTTATACAAAAAGCCAATATAAAATAAAAATCATAGTGTTTACCCAAGGAAAACAAACTGTTAATCAATCTACAAATATGGCAGGATCTGTTAAATATTTTAAAAAGTTAAGATTTTACCATTTAAGTAATTTAGACAAAAAGATAGTTCCAATGTGTAATTTCTTACATCTGCTCTATATATTACAGGTGCATATAAGTGAACAATAGTCCATGAAATAAATAGCTTTTTTTTTTCTTTTTCTCCGGTACCGGGAACCGAACTCATGACCTTACGCTTGCCAGGCAGGCGCTTTGCCGCTGAGCTAAATCCCCAGCACCCCCATGAAATAAATAGCAACATGCTAATCCATTATTGTCATAAATGTTACTTCTACATCTTATATTTCTAAAATTAGGAATTCACTTTGAGGTTTCATAGAGGAAATATGTGCAGATTTACTACAAAGATTTTTAGCTGGTGTGGTGGCACACACCTGTAATTCCCACTCCAGGTGGCAATAGACTGAAGCAGAAGGATTGTCACTAGTCTGACACCAGTCTGGGTTACATAGTGGGCTCAAGGCCAGCCTAAACTGCATAGCAAGACCTTATCTCAAAACCAAAACATTGGGCCAGGGGTATAGCTCAGTGGCTTAAGTGCTTGCCTGGCAAGCCTGAGGTCATGAGTTTGATTCCTGGTACCAAAAAAAATAAAAAATAAAAAGTAAAACCAAAACATAATAAAACTAAACAAACCCACAACCCCCCCCAAAATAAAGAGTAACAAAAGATCTTCATTTATGTATGTTCCTATATTAATGGCTAAATCTTTGAGATTTTTTGGTGAGATTTTTTATTTTAAAGAGAAGAAAATAATAATAAAAAATAGAAACAATATAGAATTTCAAAAACAAGATGATAGGAGTTGAGATATTCTTTAAATTTTTATTTCATTATTTCATATTAGTTATACAGAGTAATGGATTTCACTTTGGCATGTTCATTCCTGCATATATCATACTTTGATCATTTTCATCTTCCCCATTACACCCCTTCTTTCTTCCTTCCCCTGATTCTCTCCCGTAATAGTGTGAGATATTCTTTTATCCATGTTCCTAGGGTAATAATGTATTATGCCTCAGCTTGACAATGCATATGTATTTCACTGTCATGTGTTCTGTTGAAATGCAGAAATCTTAACTGTCTGTTGTGTGTAAGATGCTTTTTTACACTGGTTACCAGAACCACTGAATTTGATGATTGTACTGTAGTTTTATAAGAGAAAATGTTCGTGTTTTAAAGTATGTGGGTATGATATGGCATTGCATCAGCAACATGCTTTCAAGTAATTCAGGAAGAAAATAGTT